CATTTGGGGAATATGAATAATAGTGAAAGGGAATATAAGGGAAGGGAGAAGAAATGTGTGGGAAATATCAGAAAGGGACACAGAACATAAAGACTCCTAACTCTGGGAAACGAACTAGGGGTGGTGGAAGGGGAGGAGGGCGGGGGGTGAGGGTGAATGGGTGACGGGCACTGAGGGGGACACTTGACGGGATGAGCACTGGGTGTTATTCTGTATGTTGGTAAACTGAACACCAATAAAAATTAATTTATTAAAAAAAAAAACAGTTAGCACTTACTTACAGGCTGATTAGAAGTTAGGCCCTTAGGTACCAGGAGGGAAAGCATGCCGTTAAACCCCTTTCAGGGAGAAACTGGGAAATGAGCATTTTTGCCTACTCCCTCTATTCTGAGACTGGCTGGTTAGCTGTTGGAGTTACTCCTAAACCCATCTGAAAACTGCATCTTTGTTATAGTCCTATTGTACTCATGAATGCAAACCTCATTTATTATCAGAGCTATGTGACTTAGGGGCTCATCCCTTGGGTGGCAGCCATAAAAGTTAAGGTATCAGACATGAATTCACAAGCTCTTCCAGAGAGATACTGGCAACTTAATTTTATTGTTGAAGGGAGCTAGAGGGGAAAGATGAACTCCAGGGAGGATCAGAGTTATCCCCTAGATACACACTGGTTAGAAGCTGGATCCTCAGGCAGTGACTTGTAAAGTATGCAGTCAAACCTCTTCCAGTGAAAGACTGGGAAATGGGTGTTTTTGCCTGCTCTCTGCACTGAGCCCTGGGGGGATAGCTACAGTGAGTGCTCTTGTGCAAGCCCATTAACAAGGGCTTCTTTGTCTGCTTCAGTCCTGTGGGATTCATGAATGCAAGTCCTGTTGGCTATCAGATTCAGGCAATCTGGAAGCTTGTCCCTTGGGTGGCAGCCACAAAAGCTGTGGCACCAGACATATGTATGAAGCTCCTTCCAGAGCGATGCCGATGACCTGGTTTTACCATTGGAGTGAGCCCAGCGAAAGGTATGGAAGTGCCTATCAGCTTGTTCAGGCTCCAGGGAAGATATTGGTCAGCACTAAAATGCATGCTAACTGGAAGCTGGGCCCCCAGGTAGCAGCTTGTATATAGCTAAACCCTTTCCAGGGAAAGACTGGCATTTTTGCCAGCACTGTCTGCACTGAGGCTTGGAGGCATAGCCACAGTGAGTAGTCACACACCATTAAGAACAACTTCTTTATTCTCTATAATTCTGTGGAACTCAGGAATCCCAGCTGTATAGACTATCAGAGCTAGGTGTTTGGGATCTCATCTCTTGGGGGTCAGGAGTCTTAAAAGTTGGAGCACTAGATGTGCAGTTCAAACCCTTTCCTTCTCAGGGAGAAGATGGGAGTTAGGATTTCCCTTGGATTATATGGTGCTGTACCAGGCGTAGGGTTTATGGAGAGACTGTTTCAGATTTTCCTACCCAGTTAGATGTGTATATTTTCTCAATTGCCTGATATGTAGGAGTCACTCAGCCACTAGTTTCTGGATTTTTCTCAGAGAGAATTACTCCATGTGTAGCTATACATTTGGTGCATCCATGGGAGGAGGGAAATTCTGGAATCTCTTATGCCTCCATATTGGTCTGTAGTCACTTCAGACTTACTTAGTATAAATGAGATGGACCAAAACATTATCTCTTTCAGATTCTAGATGCTAAGGACACTCAGTAAGTGACTTTGCCTAAAGTCACTTTGAAGGCAGAAATGAGCAGGAAGACTATTTTATTAATTTTTTAGTGAAGTTGGGACACCTGGGTGGCTCAGTGGTTGCGCATCTGCCTTTGGCTCAGGGCATGATCCCAGAATTCTGGGATCAAGTCCCACATCAGGCTCCCTGCATGGAGCCTGCTTCTCCCTCTGCCTATGTCTCTGCCTCTCTCTGTGTCTCTCATGAATAAATAAATTAAATCTTTAAAAAAATTTTTTTAGTCAAGTTTAGTGACATAAAGAAAACTCATCATTAAACAAAAATTAGCAATTTTCACTTTATTCATTTACTCAAGAGTATGCTTACAATGACACTGACTGAACTGCCACAAGAACACAGGAATCAAAACTATGCCAGACCATGATCTATCCAATATATAATTCATCTTTAATAGTACTTCAAAAGGATTATTTTTTCAGAGGATGATGTTGCCCTCTCTGATGATAACCTTCAAACAGAAGAGGGTAATATCTCTTAATTTGGGATAGTAACCTGTCAAGCAGCTAGCACCTGAACATCTACCTGTATAGTGAACAAATCACTTACTTAATGATAACTTCCCAATCTATTTCCAGCTCTGATTTCTCTCCTGAATCCCAGGCCCCAGCTGGCTTGCAAGTAGCTTCACATGGTGATCCCCCCCCACAACCAGTACCTCCAAATCAACATATCCAAGTGAATTAAGCCATAATCTGTCCTTTACTCCTATTCCTGAAACTAGTCCTCTTCTTTACAGTGAATGAATGGCACCTCTTAGATCCACTTGCCCAAACCAGAAAGAAGTCAGTCATTTATGAGTCCTTTCCCTTCCTCAAAACCCTTCCCTCCTGTCTAGCAATGTCCAATCCTATTGATTCCCCTTGGTCTAGTGCATCTCCACCCCTACAACCACCTAGTATCAGCTCTCATTATGTCTCACTTGGACTATTACAGCAATGTGTTTATTGGTCTCTCTGGCATCCAAATGGCTCCCAGAATGATCTTTTGAAAAAACATCTTATCATGCCAAAATTCTGTAAGTTAAAATCTAAATCCCTAACATTTCACACAAGATTTTTTTTTTTTTTAATTTACGATAGTCACACACACACACACACAGAGGCAGAGACACAAGCAGAGGGAGAAGCAGGCTCCATGCACAGGGAGCCCAACATGGGATTCGATCCCAGGTCTCCAGGATCGCACCCTGGGCCAAAGGCAGGCGCCAAACCGCTGCGCCACCCAGGGATCCCTCACACAAGATTTTTAAAGATATTTCAACCTCATCTCCCAGAATGCTCTTCATTTATGTATATATCACTACTAACACACATATCTTTTGCTTTGGGAGAACCATTCTAGTTCCTCAAATATTTTTGTGTTTCTATACGTAGTTCTTTTAGTTTAAAGATAATTTTTTTCTGCTGGCTCCTTTCAATATTTTTTCTTTTATTTTTGATTTTCTGTGATTTCAAATGATATGCTTAGGTGTAATTTGGGGGGTGGTGCATTTATCCTGTTTGTTGTTCTCTAAGCTTCCTGGATCTGTGGTTTGGTGTCTGACATCAATTTAGGGAAATTCTCAGCTATTACTGTTTCAAATATTTCTTTTATTACCTTTTTCTCTTTCTGGTATTTCCATAATGTGTATGTTATACCTTTGGTAGTTGTCCCATAGTCCATGGATATTCTTTTCTGTTTTTTTCCCAGTCTTTGTTCCCTTTGCTTTCAGTTTTGAATATTTCTATTGATATATCTTCAAGCTCAGAAAATACTTTCCTCAGCTGTGACCAATCTACTAATAAGCTTATCAAAGGCATTCTTCATTTCTGTTACAGTGTTTTTTGATCTGTAGCATTTCTTTTTTCTCTTAAGATTCCTATATCTCTGCTTACATTGCCCATCTGTTCTTGCATACTGTGTACTTTATCCATTAGTGCTCTTTGCGTAATAATTGTGGTTGTTTTAAATTCCCAATGTGATAATTTCAACATCCAGACATGGCAAGATGTCTTCAAGTTGTGTTTAACTTTTAGTGTGCCTTGTAATTTTTTTTTTGACAGCCAGGCATGATGTACCCATAAAAGAACTGCTATAAATAGGCTTTTAGTAATGTGGTAGTAAGGGCAGGGGAGGGGAAGGGTACTATAGTCCTATGATTAGGTCTCAGTCTTTTAGTGACATATGCATCTGGACTATCACAAGTATTTCTTACGGTTTTTTTCTCCCTCTTTAGTTGGAACAAGATAGCTAGAGTGGGCTAGAGTTGGGTATTTCCCTTCTCCCAGGTCAGGTAGGCCCTAATAATACCCCAGCTCTGGTTAGGCTCTGGCTAACTAGTTTCCCTTGTGGGAAGTCCTTGTCAAAAAGAACAGAGTGCTCAGGGATCCCTGGGTGGCTCAGCAGTTTACCGCCTGCTTTCCTTTGGCCCAGGGCATGATCCTGGAGTCCCGGGATAGAGTTCCACATCGGGCTTCCTGCGTGGAGCCTGCTTTTCCCTCTGCCTGTGCCTCTCTCTCTCTCTCATGAATAAATAAATAAAATCTTAAAAAAAAAAAAAAGAACAGAATGTTCTGGTTTCAAAATGGTTCCTTTCCCCCTTTTCCTGCCAAAGTATTAGGGAATTTTTTTGTCTGATATGACTATGAAAACCTGGTCTATCTACTGGAGATAAACTCCCTAAAAGTATGGGGACTTCATACTGAAATGAGCATTTCAGACTGATCATTTTTTTAGTTGTTGTTAGAATGGAGTAGTGACTTCCAAACTCCTTGTATTCTATTCTAATAATATCCCAGAATTTGGTAAGCAAGTTCAGGTTTGCACTATCTAAATGCACCATGGTTTTTTCAAGACAACTTTATCCTCTCTCAGTCTTCTTCATTTCTGTCAGGAGCAGCCCATAATTTTTTAGCCACTTAGGGCCACTGCCAAAATTTCACCTACAACCTACCTATATCCCAATCACAATAAATACAGTACCTTCTTATTAGGGAAACCCCACTACTTACTTATTCCTCTGCCTCTCCACTTCTCAGTACTGCACCAATAAAGGTAAAATCTGTCACTTATCCATATGAGAGCTAATATGAGGATGTATCTAATGAGAGACAAGAACAAAAATCTAGACTGCCACAAAGACCCATCCCTCTTTTTACATACTATATTAGCATCCCCATGATTACCCTCAAGACCTTATTTCTCCCCACTCCCAGAAGATTCCTGAGTGGATAACAGTGTACAAGAGGAGGGAGCAGGGATCCTAGTGTTCACCCAACTCTGAAAGCAGCCTTTGCAGCACACATAGGTTTCATAGGTTCTACTGGTGAAATCTGTGTCCTAGGAAGGGGACACAGTCAGTTTCAGCTCCCCTGAGGACATAGAGGATTCTTAGATAAGGAAGACAGAATTCCTAAGGGGAAGATTTTACACATGTCCCTTAAGGCTCTTAATTCTTTGTGTATGAATTGAGAATGTTATAGATTAGGTGCCTTTTCTTTGCATCTTTGAGATGGATGGTTAAATCAATATTGAGAGATATTTTTTTCAGGATCTATGTAAGTGATTTCTGCCAAGAGATGAAGCTGAAGTGCCTACCTGCCACACAGACACTGATAAGGGATACACAGGCCCCTGTGAAGATAGCACTGACCACAATCTTGGAAACAAGTCACTCTTCTGGCAAGGTACCACTGAGGCTATAGACCACAAAATACAATTTAATATCGTCCCTACCAGACAATCGGGTATGCTTCATGGGCACCCATGTACAAGAATGCAGAAAAACAAACATAGCAGATGAAAAGCATCCTTAGCACCAACCACCAGAGGCTAGCCAGTGGTACCCCAAGAAGTATGTTTATAGGGATCCCTGGGTAGCTCAGTGGTTTAGCACCTGCCTTCGGCCCAGGATCGAGTCCCACGTTGGGCTCCCTGCATGGGGCCTGCTTCCTTCTCCCTCTGCCTGTGTCTCTGCCTCTCTCTCTGTATCTATCATGAATAAATAAATAAAATTAAAAAAAAAAAGAAGTGTGTTTATACATTAAACCTGATGGGCCACAAACTCAGAAATCCCCTAGGTCAAGGATTGTGTATCTGACCCTAACTTCAGTGCTTCTGTGAAATTCCAGAGAAGTATCTGGATCAAGCAAAGCTCTTTGTGGCCCAGGCAGGCACAAACACTTGGATGTTCACTAGATAAGGTTTGCATTCTTAAGCTATGGCCAGAATTAGATGGACTGCTTTGAGCAAGAGGGATAAAGAGGGCAACACTCACCTAAGCCTTGGCTGCATGATGCATATCCCACTGCTAGATGTCAATCACATGGTTAGACAGTAATCAGGCATCAGAATTAGAACAATACAGATCAGTGTTTAACAGAAAAGATAAACTGAGATGAAATTGTTTCACTTTTCAATTGTTTAATCAGCTACCAAATAAATTCACTTAATGAGGGATCCCTGGGTGGCACAGCGGTTTGGCGCCTGCCTTTGGCCCAGGGCGCGATCCTGGAGACCCGGGATCGAATCCCACATCGGGCTTCCGGTGCATGGAGCCTGCTTCTCCCTCTGCCTGTGTCTCTGCCTCTCTCTCTCTCTGTGACTATCATAAATAAATTTAAAAAAAAGATTTAAAAAAATTCACTTAATGATTCTACTCCAGAATATGAGTGCCATAAAAAGTGGACACACTGAACTGTATTTCTTCTTTTTTAAAAAGATTTTTTTTTAATTTACTTATTTGAGAGAGAGTGAGCAAGAGAGCATGAATGGGGAGAGGGGCAGAGGGAGAGAAAGAAGCAGGCTCCCCAGTGAGCAGGGAGCCCAGTGAAGGGCTCCATCCTAGGACCTGAGCCAAAGGCAGATGATTAACCTCCTAAGCCACCCAGGCACCCCTGAACTGTATTTCTTCTTATATGTTAGTTTTAACTTGGATCTTCCAAACTTTTGGAATCTGCTAGTCATTCTCCCTCCCCTATCCTCAAGGATAATTCCACTTTCTTCATATCATTTTCTGTAGTCATCACCCACATTCAGCAATATCTTGGCAGTCCAACTGTATGTAACTGTGTCTGCTTCAAATACTTATACCTCCCACACCTGATGACCTGTAGCTTTTAATCAAACACTTCATACCACTTGCTCTTTCTATTTATCTGCCTTGTGTGTGTGCTGCTTTTATTTGTATTTTGAGTCTTTGTGTAACTCCTATTTCTATGAAGATGGTTGGTAAGCAGCCTAATTTCAGAAGCAATCTTTGCTACAGAATAAAAACTCAAATATCTTTATTTTTAAATACATTATGTTCATTTAATGGCAAAATAAAAATATTACACCACTATAATCTCCCTCATAGGAAAAATAAAAATGAAATTGGTCTTTTGGACCTCCAATCAAAAGGAAAAAAAAAAAAGAAAAGTAACAGAAGTTGAGATTGTAAATCCAGGTGGGCTCCACCCATAGTCTGGTAGCAGTGGTTGCCTTAACTCCAAATTAACTGTCATGTGAGAGGGCCCATTTCACATCAGCTTCTCTATCTGGTCTCAAGTTGTACTGAAAAACCAGGACTGCCCACTACAGAAGCTGGAATCTTGTTGGCTTATTGGGTGTTGGGAAAATGAATTAATTCACTCAAGCCTCCCAGTGTGATTCCTATGGAACTGAGATTGGCAAAATCCACAGTGTTAAAATATAATGATTTCAGCTCTCACCTCAGGAAAACAAAAATAACTGAGTAAATAAACTCAGTCCCTTGTGTGCAGCCATATAATCAGGATAAAAGTACTAGAGTACTTAGGACCCCCAGCTTGTCCACACTACCCTAAAGAAAGTGGAAAGGATGCTCAGAAAATAATCACTTCCTGAGTTATTATAGGAATAATGATATGGAAACCCCATGGGCCTCTTTGCCCAGCACTCTTCTTGTTGAAGCTTGTGAATAAGGAATGAGGATGATGGAGAAAGAAAAGGAGATTGATTTACAGCAACTTAAACATATAAATGAAGAAGTGGACCTTAGACTATCAAAAATAGCAAACAAACAGACTATCAAAAACCCTGGAGTGCTCCAACTGTAAAGACCCAACAATTACATTACAGAGAGAAGCTGGGTCAGACTGTGGGGGAAGAAGACCTCAGGGCAGCATGAGCATTGGAGCTAAGTGTATTGTTATGCTTGCTTTGTGGTTAGGCCTAGGACACTGGAAAGGGATCTGTGGGTGTGAAACAAGCTTTTGTTTTTTGTTTGTTTGTTTGTTTGTTTTTTAAAATTTTTATTTATTTATGATAGTCACACAGAGAGAGAGGGAGAGGCAGAGACACAGGCAGAGGGAGAAGCAGGTTCCATGCACCCGGAGCCCGACGTAGGATTCGATCCCGGGTCTCCAGGATCGTGCCCTGGGCCAAAGGCAGGCGCCAAACCGCTGTGCCACCCAGGGATCCCCACTTTTGTTTAACGTGTTCTGTCTGCCCACAGACAATTTGTGCTTTTCAGGATTCTGACTTACTGAAAGCCACTGTTTGTCTTCAATCCACTCTTACATTCCAAAAAGATGTCTGTTCTTGTATTGAGATAGTTGCTGAGCTACACACTCATTTGTGAAAAACTTGATCCCTACCATCACACCTACCACTGGTCATTCTGCTCACTCTACACCCATCATGAAATCGTGGGCCTTAGGATATAGGAGCAGATGACCTGGGTGAAAGAAAGATATCCCAGGGAAAGGAGGCCAGGAACCAAGGACTCTCTCTGGAGCCCTGACTCAGTCTCCACCCTTCTCCTATCCAGGTTCTCTTTTAGCTCACTGTAGGTCAGGATATGCGCAGTTCAAGGACTACTTAACCGTACTTAGATGGATAGCCTGACTTTTACCTGGAAAGATTTTATACGTCTACCAATTCTCTTAGCCAGGAGAGGGCAGCACTGATGAAGGACACCACAGTCAAAAAAGATAATCAGGATGGCTGCTAATGGTTATCAATATGGCCTATGGCGTCCCTGGCTCCATTGCTGGCAGCTTCCAGGACATTATTCTCCTCCCTGTGATTATTTGGCATAGGGGAAGAATATGGTGTCTAGGGTAGTCTCAGCTCCTCATAGAAGAGAAATCCCACTGTCCCTGCAATGCAGGAACGCAGGAGGAGACTGCAAGGCTAGCTTGAGAGGTGACAGGGGTTCCTAGTGACCCTTTTGGTGGCAATTATAGTGAAGCAGTATCGGATTTAATTGCCATGAGATTGCACTGACACCAAAGACAGAGGATAATGGCATGTGGAAGACAGGCTGGTGGGAGGGTTAACCAAAAAAAAAAAAAAAAAAGAAAAGAAAATCAACACGGTTAGCTAGAGGCAGAGGTAGACAAGAGGGGATATGGAATCATTATTCCTTTACCAAGACACCTGAAGCCTCTGCCACCACAGCATCACTCTTGACCCTGCACTTGACCTTACCATCCCCCAGATGGCCTCAAATGCCTCATTGGACTTACCCACAGGGTAATTTTACCCCCTTCTATTCTTGAACTTGGCCTTCCTCTGATTTACCAGCTTTGACAAGGCAAGAGCAGAAGGGGCAGCCACCACAGAGGCAGAAATTAAGGATGCTGGAGGCTCCCAACACAATGACCAAAATGGTGGCAAACGCTCCAGTCATCACTGCATGGATTTCAGAAGGCATGATGTCTGCAAGATATAGATGGATGAGCAGGGGTGCTTCTGTCTATAAATAAGGAAAGCTGTGTCAGATTCAAGAGGTTGCATCTCCCCAGCCCCAAAGTACCCACCCTGCTCCTAGGACATATCCCTGCAGTGTGAGTACCCCTCCAGCAGCCAGCTCTGTTCTCAGATCCTCCCAGCGTTTACCTCACCCCTGCTGGCACCTACTCATATCCTGGATGGCACTGTTCTCATTTGTTTTCACAGGAATTTTTCTCTCTCACTTAAATTTTAAAATGCTATAGAAGGGAAATGGTACATTTCTTTTGTATGTTTTCAGTGTCTGAAGCCATATACTTAATGAGTGATCTTATGGAGTGCATATTAGTTACTTGAAAAGTACTTGTTAAATTAATTGCAAATAGATGATTAAAGCCCAGTGTTGATGACAGAATCAAAGGAACCATGTTTGTTTTTAACACTGTGTGTCAATTATACTTCAATTAAAAAATAATGTTTGTGAAAATGTTATGAAATTATGAAGGCCCAACTACGTAAACTGTATCTTGAATTTAGATAAAATAATGTTATTTAATCACTTAATGAGCAACAGCTATGTGCCTACTGCTGTACTAGATGCTAGGGATATTAATATGAATAAGGCAAAGTTTCTGCTGTTAGATGTCTAGTATAAGAAACTAAGCTGACAATGCATAATTTCAGCAAAATGTGGAGTGCTATGGAAAAAGTGTGCAGAAGTACCCTAAGAACATTTCAGAAACAGTTAATCTGCCCAAGGCCTTGGGAAAGACCTCAATACTAACTCTGGGTCAATTTGACAAGCCATTGTCCCTAGCATTGAGCTGAATAGTCAATAGCATATATTGGGCACCTACTCCATACAGATAAATGTGTCAGACAAATATTATGAGAGACAGCCTTCATGTTAGCCCTGAGCAAGGCAAGTTATTGTCTCCTTAGAGACCCTGGAAAACAGAGGTCACAAGGAGAAACCTGAATACAGGGCTAACATCTTGCATAGCCCCTAAAGAAGGAGAAGATTGGATCAGGACATTTCCATACATTCCTGTGTAAGAAGTTGGATCAGTGGTTAAGGATATCCAAATTAAGTATGCCCAGATAAATATGAGATGTGAAAGCAAGCAGAGTTTCTTTTGAGCTTCCAAGTTTTCTTTTATCAGTGATTGGCTGCCCAAACCATCCTCAGATATTTGACGTATCAGAAAGAAAACATACTTTTCTCAACCTGTTGTCTGCCACGCTTTGTGTTCCCCAAAGAAAAGAAGATCAAGGGGATCCCTGGATAGTTCAGCAGTTTGCCTTTGGCCCAGGGCATGATTCTGGAGTCCTGGGATCAAGTCCCACATCAGGATCCCTACATGGAGCTTGCTTCTCCCTCTGCCTGTGTCTCTGCCTCTCGTTCTCTCTGTGTCTCTCATGAATAAATAAATAAAATCTTAAAAAAAAAAGAAAGAAAGAAACAGAGATCAAAAGGCCTTAGAGTGCTTACCAACCCCACAAAGATGCTTCTTGCCACAGCCAGGGTGTTTGTGGCAGTGGTACCTGTGGTTGTTTACAAAAATCAGGTTACCCAAAGGGATATAAAGTCCTAAAGCATTAGCATTAACAGGAATCTTGGAAAGTATCCTGCAAAACCCCTTCTCCATTTTACTGGTAAGGAAACTGAGGCCAGGAGAAGCAGAGTGACAAGTGTAAGGCCACAAAGCAAGTTATAAACAGAACCTGGACCGGAACTCAGGACTCCTGGCTTTCAGAACAAGTAGATTAAAATTCATTATGAAATAGAAATGCAGCCTCCTTTCTGTCCCTGCTCTGCCCCTCAGCCTACATAGGGCCTGGACATGACCATCTAAAATCAGGTATGCTTGAAAGAGTTTGCCTTTTCACATTGGCTTTACCACTCTACATCCTACACACAAGCATTTTTCCGTAATAAGTGTCATCTTCATGCCTCCTAACAGATCACAAGATGAAAGCCCACCTGCTGACTGGTATAAGAATGAACCATCCACTGCGCAAGGCTCAAGTAGCAGAGAATGGACATCATACATCCAAAAAAAGGGATGATTGGGAAAGTCTATAGTAAGAACGACAGGGCAACTGGTGAGATGAATGTGCTCATGTGTGCCCTAAATGAACTGCATTTCAGGCCTCTGAATTAAACTCTCAGCATCCTAAGAGCAGCTGAAAGAGTATAGATACCCAATGGGTATTTAAACACAAGCTAGTTCAGGAATACATTTACATATATTACAAATCTATCATCCCATCAGTACTAAGCCACAAGGAGATGTTTCTGAGCCTTCCTCCCCAACCCCTATTTCATTCCAATTTCCAAAGAATGATCAAAGGGCAAGACATTGATGCTATTTACTGAGGAGATCAAATTCTCTTCTTAGGGCCACCTGGGTGGCTCAGTCACTTAAGTGTTTGCCTTCAGCTCAAGTCATGATCCCAGGGTCCTGGGATTGAGCCCCAAATCTGGCTCCTTACTCAGTGGGGAGTCTGCTTCTCCTTCTCCCTCAGCCCCTCCCCCCTCTATTTGTGCTCTCTCTAAAATAAATAAATAAAATCTAAAAAAATAAAATCTCTTCTTAAAGTCAAATTGATATATACACTAGTTCATCTCTTGGACACACATTTTCTTTTTCTTTTTTTAAAAAAAAAGATTCATGTATTTATTTGAGAGTGAAAGAGAGAAAGAGAGAGGAAGAACCCTCTCTAGGGTTTTAAAAGAACACTTCTAAAAGGGCTGAGCCTTCACATTCAATTTCTCATACCTAGATCTGGTCTCCCAGCCATCAAAATGCATTAAACTGAGGATTCATTCTGATGACCAAGATACCAAAGAGCCAATTGAAGACCCAGGCCCAAAACACAGCCCTCCAGGACACTTAGGACCAATTAGAACATTATTCCAAGATGAGTTCTGAATCCTAGTTGTTTATTACTTGTTTTGACTTTTAAACATGAGTGCATGTACTCTGGGTAGAGCCAACCTAGGATGTTAACAGTAAATCTGGAGTGAGGAGCAGGGAGAAATGGAAATAATATATAAAGAGCCACATATATCCATATGGTTTTTAAAAACTGTCCACAGACTAAATGACACACACACACAAACACACACACATATATATATATATATACACTTACAAATAAAAGTGTCATAAACCAATACTTTTAATATTACTGTGTGCAATATGGATTCTCTATTGTATTTTCTTTTCTTTTCTTTCTTTCGTTCATTCGTTCTTTGTTTGTTCTTTCTTTAACACTGATCTGGATCCACAAAGTGATATCAAGATTCACTAATGGCTCACAACCTATAGTTTGAAAATAAGTGGTCCAGGGCCTCTGAGAACTTTAAAATTTCTCTAAGGAACAAAACTGTCAGAGAAGCAAATTCCAGAGATTGTTAAAAATTTAGTTCTATAAAAAAATAAAATAAACAAAATTAGTTCTATGCCTTTGTAATCAAGACTTGACACATGCACTTTTTAATTAGTAACACATGTCCCTTGGCTATGTGATACTATGCCCATCCTGCAGACCCAAAACTCATTGCATGGCAGTGTTTGGAGCATGCAGAGGATGAGAATGAACATGCAGATTCCTGTGAGGGAGATCAAATGCTCTGTAGACTCTGGCTATCACCTCTCTCCCTCAACTCTTACAGAATGAAGTTAGAAGAGTCCAATCTGAAGACACAAGTCACATGACTTCCTTTCCCTCAAATTTTTGTAATGCTAAGATGTGATAAATAGGTTTATTCTTGGGCAGCTCAGGTGGCTCAGCAGTTTAGCGCCACCTTCAGTCCAGGGCATAATCCTGGAGACCTGGGATCGAGTCCCACCTGGAGCCTGCTTCTCACTCTGCTTGTGTCTCTGCCTCTCTCTCTCTCTCTCTCTGTCTGTCTCTCATTAATAAATAAATAAAATCTTTAAAAAAAAAGACTGTTCTAATGGATAACGAGAGTATTTTTTAAAATGGTCCCCTGTGGATCTCTACCCAATATCCAACCACTCCAAGGGCAGGAGTAAAGGCTAAGCCACAAATCAACTACTTAGGGTCTTGTGGTCCTTTGATGTACCAGACATGTTTGATCAATACACAAACTGGTTTCTTCATGTCTGAGTATTGGACAAGGAAAGAGAATTAGAAGAGAGGTCTCATATGAAAAGAAAGGAAACAAAAAGAACATATTGTCCATTGAGATGCCTCAGTAACAACAACGACAAAAGTCTTCACAGGTCACACTTGAATTTCAGAGCTGTTCTCATTGTGAACTCATCTCACTTAAAGGGAAATAAAATCTGGCTTCCATAATCCACCCTCCTAATGAGTGTCAAATAAATCAAGGATCCAAAATTTAGGCTGTAATCTGGTGTGTTTTTCCAAATTATCACTGTTGTGAACATTTTTTTGTGTGTGTGAACATTTCCTGTGCATCCACTGAAGAATAGGCAGAAAAGAGGAACTTCATAGAGAGTGTGAAAGTTATTCTCTCACCCCATGCATGCGATCAAAGGATATGTGCATGCCATAGTCAGTTAGATGAGCTATGGCTGCTGTAGAATCCCACTCAGTATACATTGAACAGTAAGTTTGCTCCTTCAACTCTAAAGAATTGTAAAAGATACCAGTCGGGTGCAAGAATTCTAGAGGACTAGAAGGGGGTGGAGCATAAAGAGTATCAGGGAAGGAGCACCTGGGTGGCTCAGTCAGGTAAGTGTCCGCCTTCAACTCAGGTCATAATCTCAGGGTTTTGGGATCAAGCCCCCTGTCGGGCTCCCTGCTCAGTGGGAGTCTGCTTCTCCCTCTCTCTCTCTCTTTCTCTCTCTCTCTCAAATAAATAAAAATAAAGCCTTTTTAAAAATAAAAAGAGTATCAGGGAAGTAAGGGAGACACATATGGCCACCAGATCAGTTCAATAGCTTAATGTAGCTGCAAACCTCTATGTTTTATTTCACTGAAAAGGAGTATGGTTTTTCTCATTTTTGATACAAGCCCTGACAATAAACAGACTGAAACTCTTCCATGAAACTTAACCTCCCCCACCCCCGCCACTCCCTGACCTCCAGCAATGTTGAGACATGAGGCTACAAGAAACTGAAGTCCAGTACATGGAGGCCTGTTGCTATTTGCTCCCTGAGCCTTGCGTTTCTAAGTGTAGGGGAGTGGTTTGAGAGACAGCTCAGGAGCAGTCAAAGGAGAAAAAGGGAAGATAATGAAATCTTATTCATCATTTCATCCAAAGCTTCAGGCAGGAGTTTTTAAAGGCCTTTAGACGTCTTGTTAGTTTTTTACCAAAGAACCTTTTTCAGAAAGTGGTGAACCAGGACCAAGAACACCAAACAGGTGAGGACAGACAAGGCCAGTGCCCTCTGGGAATCCACAATGCAGGTGCCACGATGCAGCTTAAGCTAAAAAGAGAAGGTACCAAGTGAGGATCAGCAAACAGGGCTCCTTGGGGGCAAATGAAGCTCTAATGATGAATGCCTGAGACTTAAAGCAAGAAGAACTGTCCAGTGACCTTGCTATCCAGCCCTAAGGGTCAGGCTGAACTACAGTCCTCAAGGCAAAGATCGATGGCCATTTTCTGCTTGAGGATTCCCAGGAAGAGTCCAGCTTAGTTTGAATACTACATTTTTTCACTGATTTCTTTTTTTTTTTTTTTCACTGATTTCTAATGAAATCTCACTCCCTTCTATTTTATCTGATATCCTCTTTTGGTCCCTTGGAGTAGATTTGATCAGCATCTACCACTAGACTCTTCAAAAGTCATCTGTTCTCAAAACCATATAACACCAGTCATTTTAATCTTTCCTCTGGAGCAAAACCACATAAACAAGGCTACTCTTAAGAAGTGTAGCCATATGGTTCTCACCTCGTGGCTGCTTGACTTGCCTCAAAATAAAAGTTTTGTTTTCATCATCCTAGCTCCCTCTAATATTGGCCCCAAAGTCCTATACATCACTGACAGTATACTTTAAACAGGTTTTCTGTCTTTTTAAAGTGTTTTATATCATTGTTCTTACTAATGAAGCAGGAAATAAGTAATATATACTAGGCTTCTCTTGTAAAGACTATAACAAGCTGCATTGATTCAAGAGACAAGAAAGAAAAAACCCAGATTCTCTCAAATATCTAAGTCTATCAAATAGTATAGTTTTGAGAAATAGTTCATTCTCAGGTTTTACCTATTCCTAGAACTGCAACTCGATAAATTATGTTCACTTACAAGTCATGAAGATCTATACACCAAATAGCCCTTTAGATCAGTTTGTGAATAAAGTTGCTTTCCATCTAGCAATTGTCTTGATACAAGGTTCCATTCCTAAAATAACTGTTGTCTCTTGCTTCCATGAATTCTCAACATCTTACCCAAACAGGCCCAGCAGGATCTTCTTGAACAAGCCAGCATGTGTTTTGTAGAAACTTCTTGCTCCAGTAAAAGGCTGTAGGTTCCTCCTGATAAGAACACCAAAACTAAGTTACAAAAACTACTTCATCCCATTTGTATCAATTCCCAGAATTTATATTACCTGGCCTGGGAAGAATTTATTAACCAATGAGGAAAATTATTCAGCCACGGTACAATAGATAATATTGTGGCATGGCAGAAAAGCCAATCAAACCTTGCCAAGGAGGAGCAGGTCAGAATAAGCCTACCCAACCTGGACTAGCAATATCCTCAGTAATCTCCAACCACAGAATTGGACACTAGTCACATCAGGAGAGACTCTTGGAACTGACTTCCCCCTTGTTCCTTAGGGACAAGGGATTGTTTAGCTTCCAAGATTCAGAAAAGGGCTTATTCTGAGAGGCAGCTTTGACCAATCTTCCCTAAGAACCATACGAACCCATAACCCTGAGCAGTCAATCAGATGTGCACTGACAGACTGGAAGAAAATCACTACCACCGTCAAGAATCCCTGGTGAGCAGGACCTGATGCTATTCCAGTTGACCACTGACATGTGCTTTCTATGTGCTGGGCTCTTTGTGGGAACTTTATAAGGAGTAGCTCATTGACTCCTCCAAACAATTCTGGAGGTGGTTACTATTATCTTTTCCATTTTACGAATGTGGAAACTGGAAAACAGAGATGTTAAGTAACTTTCCCAAGGTCATTGAAGGTGTAAGGAGCATAGACAGAATGCAAACTCAGGCAGCCCGGCTTCAGAATCTGAGCTCTCAACCATCCTCCTATGCCATATCTTACCTGGGCCAGGCTCACCCATCTCTGCCCTTCCTAAGTATCTTCAGCACACTTAAGTCATATGAGCAAAGGTCTCCAATTTGCAAACTCTTCAAAGGTCCAAAGAAGGCAAGCCCAGCATGAAGGTCCCGTTGGCCATCATGCTGAGCCAGTACAGCATAGCCAGGGCTGGGACCAGTCACTACGTTCAGATGCCCAGGGGTCTTGGTTCACAGATTCCCATGACTCTCCATTGCTATCTCTCCCATCTGAGATGCTCCCTCTTCCTTAAACATAGCCTTTCTTTTCACTCTTCCCTCCTCCTCATTTCCCCTTTGCAGGGAGCCCAAGCCTGTGTTAGTTGAATAGAGAGTATATTACCAGATATAGGTAATTTGAGAAAAGAGAAAAAAACCTTTATTGCCACCCAAGTGAATCAATTCAAAAGGATACGTCTCATGAACTCTGTTGCCTTTCCTTGCTTAATAGAGAAAGTAGTGAGTAAAAGAGATTGCTTAGAGGTATTTGTGTGCCTGAAGTACGTTATTATCTCTGGAACATCATTTGCAAAGTGTATCAAGGAACGAATTTAGTTTTAATCTAGACTTCCTGTGTCAGGTACCTTTGGTTTGCCCCTCCAGATCCACTCTCCACCCAGCTCTGTACTCCAGAAGCCTGACCCTGTGGACTACCTGGAGGGCTCCAATGCCTTCCAGTTCATCTGATTGGGTTCTACCAAGGGGACCCACAAAGAGATCAGAATGTATGAAAAGACTGAGGTCACTGTATTGAGGAGGTCTTTATCTGACTCTCCTCCTGGGTTCTCTTACATCTTGTCCCTTCAGGCCTAGGAATAGTAGCGGTTCACTGCTTACTGCCTCAGGTTCTTGCACTATCCTTTCTTGTGGCTCCACTACATCTTGCACACATCTTTCTAATGGTCTCTTTGTAAATAAACCCTCCTATAATTATCTGAATTTAAGTATTCCATCTGTTTCCTGTTGGGACCCAAACTGATACACTAGGTGAAGCTGATTTAAAATTATACCCAGTCAAATGCCAGTTCAGTAAAGCCACTGCAAAATTAGAGGGGGCATACTACTCCAAAAATAAATAGAAATCACATGCCTAGAAAAGGTTTGTCATCACTTTGTAACCACGTTCAACTATTTCCTGGGAACTAAAGTTCAGTGGGTACCACCAGAAATGAGTTAAGAACAATAACTTTAGCAAAATCTATTAACATTCTAATCCTAGAATATCAAGTTGAAACTAGACCTCTCTGGTTAAAATTTTAAATAAAAAAAGAAAGCCATAAGGGGTATTGCAAAGGAAAAGAGAAAACAAACTCTCACACTCTTTTAAACCAATTAAGCAGCAGAGCATAGAGGTATGAGAAATCATGGTCTTGGTATCTTGCTTGGCCAGGGCTCTTGTTAATACTACCTAGCTCTTTGCTTTACATGACATTACAATTTGAGGGTTAGTAACTGTTCTATCTGAAAGCTGAATTGAGAAGAAATCTGTCTGATAAATGGTGAATCATAATACCTTGGCCAATCATAATACCTTCACTTTCTGTGAAGTATGTACCCATTAATGAATTCTCTAAGTATGTGTATGGGACCTTTTTCAGATATGTACTAACAATAACCTTCTCTCATGCTTACTGCTTGCAGCCTCAACCGATAGAGCATGAAAGAGTAGAGTAAAGGCATTAAGTCATGCTAGGTGAACAGAGCATTAGTGGGTACTACAGGTTAGGCTTAGCAGCAAAAGTATTCATGCATTTTTGCAATGACTATTCATAGGATGTGAAAACTCAACTAAGTGAGACAAAGCTATGGAAACTCCCAGGGCCTGCAGTACTAGCATTTAGCAGTTAGAATGGAAAGCTTAGGATGACTTTCAGAAAGTCCATCTGCAGTGCTGTTGACACTGTGACCCTGGTTGATTTTTTTTTTAATTTATTTATTCACAAGAGACACACAGAGAGAGGCAGAGATACAGGCAGAGGGAGAAGCAGGCTCCATGCAGGGAGCCCAATGTGGAACTCGATCCCAGGGCTCCAGGATCATGCCCTGAGCCAAAGGCAGATGCTTAACCCCTGAGCTACCCAGGTGTTGATCTTTTCTTCTCTAGCTTAAGGTAAGAATGACTGAGTCTGAAAAGCAAAAGATTATCAATAAGCCAAAGTAGAAAGCCAAATAGGAGCTAGAAAACCACGGAAGGCAAGAGAAAAGTCAACCGGGTGGAGGCCAGTAAACTTACAATGGAGGCAGAGACTCCATGAAACTGGGGATGACCAATTCTGAGAACCATGAGCCCAGGTAGAGTAAGAAGGGAACCTAAACCAGAGCATGGCCAGGTGCTTAATGCTGAATTGGGATTATTACCTTAGAAAAGAAAGCTTTCTCCACAGAGTACCCAAATCTCTGTTTCATGTGTCCATTTCAGACAAGAGAAAAAAATCAGATCTTTTTCACACTAACAGTGGAGATCCAATGCCAAAGGTCCATGAAGACAGTAAGGTGATACATTCAATTGGCCCTTCAATTCACCCTCAACTTCTTCCTTCCAGAACTCTTATCTCTCAGAGTTAGAGATAGCATTAGTTCTGACAGGCAATAATCCAGTGGCCTTTTCAAGCCAAGTCCTAAATTCTTTGTTAAGCAAATGTTTCTCCTGATTTCTAGTACACAGTCAATGATGATCATCGGCTTCCTATGTTGATACAATTTGCTCCTGTTTATACATTCTTTTAATAATTTCAGTAGGAATTTGAGGACAGAAAAGCTCTAGCTTCTTTAGCTGCAGATAGCAGACTCAGGCCCTAATGAGAAAAAAAGTGGAGTAGGGGAAGGAGCTCCTACCAAGGATGCACTGCCTAAAATTCTTCACTTGGGATTTGTATTCACATGTAACATAGTCAAGCCTGAGATATTCTTCCAAACCTCATTCCAGGGAACTTGTATAGCTCACACCCACCCACCTATCTTGCTATGCCCACCCATCCCTGCCAGGCTTACCACCATCCTCCCAGGAAGTCAGAACAAGTGCTCTGACAGGACAGCCAGAAGAGACAAACAGACTTAATAGAAGCAGTTGGAGAGCTAGGAGGAAAAGTGAAAAAGAGATATAACCCATAAGGAGGAAAGATCAATGATATTCAATGATACATAAAATCAGGTGGCATGATAAATGAGATGCTAGATTTGGCAGTGAAGAAGCAACTGGTTCTGTGTGAGTGAACTGTTTACATGAGAGCCAAGGACCATACCAAGTACTAATGAATTTTCAGAGCAACTGGACTTGTTCTTCAGAGCAATTTGATGGTGGGAATGATTTCCATAATAATATGCAAAAACAAAATACAAAAATCAACTGTGTTTCTGTGTACCAAAAAATGAAGTTTAATGAAAGATATTTTAAGATATAATTTTTAAAATAGTGTATCTTCTAAGATTTTTTTCTGTCTCTCCCATCTATCCTCTCTTTCTAGGACTCCAATTATATGTATACTAGGCCACTTGATGATATCCCAGGAATCTCTAATACTATTCTCTCTCTTTCAGTCTTTCCCCTGCTCTGTGTTTTATTTTGGATAATTTCTATTGCTATGTCTTCAAGTTTACTAATCTTTTCTTCTGCAATGTCTAAGTTGCTATTCATCCCATCCAATGTACTTTCTTTCCAGATGTTATATTTTCAATTCTAGAAGTACAATTTCAAACTTTTTTTTTATAGTTGTTTAAACTGTCTACAGGGTAGATGACACACAGAAGGCCTTCCTGCCCTGCTCCTGTCTCACCCCCCAGAAAGATTCCATTCTCCTCTGTGATGGCCTCAGCCATCTGTCAGACAGACAGAAAGCTTCTCCAGCAGCCCAGAAACCCAGTTGAAACAAACCCACCAAAACATTCATCATTCACAATTCAAATGCACAGTACTTCCTAGAGCTGTTACACAGCAGGCACTTGATAGATACTTGTTGGAGAGTCAATAATGAAGAACAACTCAATACTCAAAAAAAAAAAAAAATCCAGGGCAGCCCAGGAGGCTCAGCAGTTTAGTGCCACCTTCAGCCCAGGGCATGATCCTGGGGACCCGGGACTGAGTCCTGCATTGGGCTTCCTGCATGGATCCTGTTTCTCCCTCTGCCTGTGTCTCTGCCTCTCTGAGTCTCTCATGAATAAAAAAAATAAAATCTTTTTTAAAAAATCCAAATAAAAAATGGGTAGAGGGCCTGAATAGTCATTTTTCCAAAGAAGATAAATGGACAATAGACACATAAAAAGATGCATAACATGACTAAGCATCAGGGAAATGCAGATCAGAACCACAATGAGATATCATCTCACATCTCTCAGAATGCCTACAATCAAAAAGACTAGAAAGAACAAGTGTTGATGAGGATATGGAGAAAAAGGAATGTTCATGCATTGTTGGTGGGAATGCAAACTGGTGTAGCCACTGTGGAAAACAGTATAGAGTTTCCTCAAAGAATTAAAAATAGAAATACCATATGATCCAGTAATTCTACTACTGGGTATTTACCCAAAAAATAGAAAACACTAATTTGAAGGGATACACACACCCCTATGTTTACTGCAGTATTATTTACAATAGCCAAGATATAGAAGCAGCCCAAGTATCCATAAATAAATCAATGGATAAAGAAGATGTAATATATATATATATACACACACACACACACACGTGCTTATACATACACATATAAACACACATATGCATATATATACACACATGTATTTTTTTAAAGATTTATTTATTTATGATAGATAGATATATATAGAGAGAGGCAGAGACACAGGAGGAGGGAGAAGCAGGCCCACGCCAGGAGCCTGATGTGGGACTCGATCCCGGGACTCCAGGATCGCGCCCTGGGCCAAAGGCAGACGCTAAACTGCTGAGCCACCCAGGGATCCCCAACACATGTCTTTCTATATATGTATATACCTACCATGAGATATTACTCCACCATAAAAAAGAATGAGATCTTGCCATTTGTGACAACATGGA